TGATAGTTGAACTATTAATTAAATAATTATTGTAAATGGGGATTGTTTTCTTAATTTCTCTTTCTGATAGTTAGTGCACTAAAGTCTTTTTTTTAAGATTTTATTTTATTTTTAGAGAGAGGGGAAGGGAGGGAGAAAGAGAAGGAGAGAAACTTCAATCAGTTGCCTCTGTCACACCCCCAACTGGGGACCTGATGTGCAACCCAAGCATGTGCCCTGACTGGGAATCGAACCAGAGACCCTTTGGTTCTCAGGCTGGCGCTCAATCCATTGAGCCACACCAACCAGGGTAGTGCAGTAAAGTCTTAAATGTAAGACCTGATACCATAAAACTTCCTAATAGAAAACATAGACAGTAAACTCTTCGACATTGATTTTAGAAATAGTTTTTTGGGATATGTCTCCCCCAGCAAGAACAAAAGCAAAAATAAACAAATGGGAATACATGAAACCAAAAAGCTTTTGCATAGTGAAGGAAACCATTAACAAAATGAGAAGACAACCTACTGAATGAGAGAAGATATTTGGAAATGATGCATCTGATAAGGGGTTAATATCCAAAGTATATAAGGAACTCATGTAACTCAACATCAAAAAATCAAACAGTCCAATTAAAAATGGCAGAAGACTGGACTAGACATTTCTCCAAAGAAGACACAGATGGCCAGCTAACATATGAAATGATGTTCAACATCACTAATCATGAGGGAAGTAAGATTATATCATACCTATTAGAATGGCTATTACAAAAAGTCAACAAATAACAAGTGTTGCCGAGGATGTGGAGAAAAGGAAACCCTCATACACTGTCGGTGAAACTGTAAATTGGCACACCACTGTGTAAAACAGTATGGAGGTTCATCAAAAAATTTAAAATGGAACTTCCTTATGACCCAGCAATTCCAATTCTAGGTATTTACCATAGAAAACAAAAACACTAATTTGAACATATATGCACATGATGCTCATTGCAGCATCATTTACAATAGCTAAGATATGGAAGCAACCCAAATGCTCATCAATAGACAAGTGGGTAGCCCTGGCTGGTGTGGCTCAGTTGTTTGGGTATCATCCTGCAAAGCAAGGGATCACTGGTTCCATTGTTGGTCAGATACATACCTATGCTGTGGGTTTGGTCCCCAATCAGGGCACCTACCAGAGGTGACTGTGGGATGGTTCCCTCCCTTCCCCTCTCTTGAGTTACTCCTTCTCATAGATACTTGATTTGTTTTTTTTTCTCTTTTTTTTTAGTTTTAGTCATTCTTTTGGGTATATAGTAATATCTTGTGGTTTTAATTTGCATTTTTTCTGATGACTAAAGATGTATAGAACATCATTTCATATGCTTCTGATCATTTGGTTATTTTCTTTTGTGAAATACTAGTTCAAATCTTTTACCTCTTTTATTGTTGGTTGTTTTTTAAAACATCAAATTGTAGGCATTCTTTATGTATTCTAGATATAAGCTCTTGGTCATTTACATATACTGCAAATATCTTTTTCATTTAAATATCTTTTCCATTCTATGGCTTACCTTTTCATTCTTTTAAGATGTCTTTTGATTAATAGAAGGTTTTTTTTTTAGATTTTCTTTATTTAATTTTAGAGAGAGTGGAATGGAGGGAGAAAGAGAGGGAGAGAAACATCAATGTGTGGTTGCCTCTTGTGCGCCCTTTATTGGGGACCTGGCCCACAACCCAGGCATGTTCTCTGACTGAGAATCCAACCTCTGATCCTTTGGTTTGCAGGCCAGTACTCAATCCACTGAGCCACACCAGTCAGGGCTGTTGATTAATAGAAGTATTAATGTAAGATAGTCCAGTTTAATAAGCTCTTCATGGTTAGTGCTTTCTAAATCTTGTTGAAAACATCTTTCCCTACTCTACAGTCATGAACATGTTCTTTTACATTATCTTCTAGAAATTTTATTTTACTTTCACATTTAGATTTCCAATTCACCCAGAACTGACTTTTCTTTAATACAAGGTAGCGGGCAATTTGATTTTTATTTAGTATTTTATAAATATGCCTGCGTATTTTAAAAAATCCAACTTTTACTTTTTTAAACATATGTAGTATATTTTTAATAGTGTCGTGTAGAGGTTAACATTGTGCCTTCAGTATTAGACTGCTTATGTTCAAACCTCTCTCTTAAAAAATTATTAATTGAACATTTATTTATTGAACATCTAGTATGTGTTAATCCCTCTCCTAGGCTCTGGGAATATCACAACAAATCAAACAGACAAAAGTACCTGCCTTTGTGTGGTGGTGAGGGGGGGAGATAGATAAGAGTCAAAATGAAAGAACAAAATTACATTAAATAGTGATGTGTATTTGGATAAAATAAGAAAAAGGTGTAGAATGTTAGAGGGGATGAAGTTTAAAATAAGGTGGTCAGGGATGCCTTCACTGAAGAGATGACTATTAGGTAAAGACCTGAAGGAGATGAGGAAACAATACTTGTGGGTTTCGTTAGGGGGAAAACTTTCCACGGAGAGGTAACACCAAGTATAAAACTGGGACAGTGGTATGCTTGGTATATTTGGGTAATAGCAAGTAGTAACAGTCTGTGTGGTTGGAACAGAAGTGAGGGGAGAAGTAGTGGATGATGAGATCAGAGAGGTAACAAACTACTGAAAGATTTTGAGCACAAGAATGACGAGATCTATGGTTAAGAGCATCATTTTGGCTGTTATGTTTACAATAGATTGCAGTGAGGGTGTGGAGGCGTGGCAAGGGCAGAAATAGGGCAATTAGGAGACTGATGCAATAATTTAGGCTACTATTTGAGTGGACCAGAGTAGAGGTAGCAAAGATAGTGAGAAGTAATTGGAGTCTGTGTATCTTTTAAAGATAGAGCCAATTAGATTTACTGATTGATTGCATGTGGAGAGTGACAGTGGGGTCAAGGGTGGCTCCAGGGTTTCTGGTCTTAACTATAGGGAAAGGAGAGAGTTTCCACTAACGGAGGTAGGGAAACTATGTAAGAAAAATGTATGCAAGAATTATAAGGAGTTCAGTTTCTTTTTTAAAAAATATTTTATTTATTTATTTCTAGAGAGAGGGGAAGGGAGGGAGAAAGAGAGGGAGAGAAACATTAATGTGCGAGAGATACATTGATCACTTACCTCTCACACGCCCCCAACGGGAGACCTGGCCTACAACCTAGGCATGTGCCCTGATTGGGAATTGAACTGATGACCTTTTGGTTCACAGGCTGGCACTCAATCCACTGAGCCACACCAGCCAGGTCAGGAGTTCAGTTCTTGACATGTGGAGTTAGAAATGCCTCTAAGATGTAAGTGTATATGATGAGTAAGCAGTTAGAGGAGTTTGGAGTTGGAAGTTTTAGGGGGGAGTTTTTAGTAGAAGATTCAGCTGAGAAAGTGTAGAGTAGTATGTGCCAGCAACTTATCTTTCTTGTTTCTCTTGAGTTATTGGTGTATTGGTCACTTGGGCACTACCCTACTTCTCTAGAGGCAAGATTTATATATTGGTTAGGCTATTTCCCAAATAGTCACTTCTCAAGAGCTTAAAGGCTCTCTTGTTTTTATAATCATTGTCTCTAATCTTGGAAGACCCCAGAACCATTTTGAATTATGTCTCTCCCTCATTCTGATTCAGTATATTTTCTTTCAGGGATTCCTTAACATTTCTTGTCTGTTCATGGTGTTCTTATTTGTCTAGGCTTTTATGGCTTTAAAAATATATTTTAAAAAAGATTCTATTTATTTATTTTCAGAGAGGGGAAGGGAGGGAGAAAGAGAGGGAGAGAAATATCAATGTGTGATTGCTTCTCATGTGCCCCCCTACTGGAGGTCTGACCCACAACTCAGACATGTGCTCTGGATTGGGAATTGAACTAGTGACCCTTGGGTTTACAGGCCCGCCCTCAATCCACTGAGCTATACCAGCAAGGGCAAAATATCCTTTTTTTAAGCTTTCCAAATAATTCTCTAATTGGGAACTACTTTAAGATATACAAACATATTACACTACCATCAGAAACAGGAAACCAAACCTCAAAGGCAGTTTTATAACTTTATTTGACAATCAGCAGTTAGTTCTCATCCACATTAATTGTTTGTAGATTTTTGAAAGTAGTGACAGGTATATAGTGACCAATGTTTAGAGCTGGTTTGGTGAATCTCCATCCTCATTACGTTTTCTGAACAACCACATCTGGATATGGTATGGGACATTTCTTATTCCTTTGGCCCAAATTGGTTTTGTTGAGCCTGGTGTCAGTACGCACATCTGAGTTCCCATCTCCTTCATGGCAAATTTCTGGATCTCTTTAAGTGCCTGAGGGGCATGCTTCTTGAAGCCCACTCCATGCATGTGCTTGTGGATGTTGATGGTGTACTCTCTGGTTATTACTTCGCTGATGGCAGAATGGTCCTTCTTCTTGCCACCCTTCTTTGTGGGAGCTGTTATGCTGGGCCCCCCAAAATAGCTCAATATTTTCAGGGATTTAGAGTAGAAATGACAAGGTAGAGTATGTGCTTAGTCAGTAATTTTGATTCAGCCATCTTGTTTGTAGTAACAACAATGTTTATGGAAAGGTGACAAAATACATAAAAAGTGATGAAAATAACATCATTCATATTTGTGTAGTGACTCTTTTAGTTTATTTCTCCCCCCTTTTTTGAAAAAAATATTAAAATTTATCTGTCTGTCATCTATCTCTCCTACATTGCAAGCATTTTCTCATGTAAGGGTAAGCTGCATAATTGGGATTTCACTTTTCAAGCAAATTTTCTGGGGCCAGCTGTTTGGTGACCTTCATCTGGCCTTTCCACACTCATAGTCAGTACTGCTTCGTTGTGACTAGCAGGCTGATAAGGATACGTAGGCTGGAAAAAGATCTGTTCATCCCTCTGTTGTATAGGGCAGGATAGTCTTCTCCTGTGAGGGTTAGAGCCAATGTGTTGTTTCTTTTTTTATGATTATTGTCAATTTAAAAATGAAATTCTTTTTATTTCTCTCACTTATAGTTCACTTAGCAGCCATGGAAGGACACCTTCACTGTTTTAAGTTTCTACTCAGTAGAATGAGCAGTGCAACACAAGCTTTAAAAGCATTCAATGATAATGGAGAAAATGTACTGGATCTGGCCCAGAGGTTCTATAAGCAGAACATTTTACAGTTTATCCAAGGGGATGAGTATGAAGGAAATGATCCAAAAGACCAGGAAAGTAAGTAATAAATTTGAAATATTTTAGCATTTAATATGTAGAATAAATGGAAAAGGAAAAGAAGTTGTAAGCTAAAGGTTATGTTAAAATGTTACATATCATTGTCCATATGTTTACTCAGGCTCTTGTCTTCACTGTGAAGTAGTTTAGGCAGAAATATATATAGATTAATATAGTTAACAATCTTCATATCATTGGATTTAAGAATAAAATATTATAAATACAGTTGAATCTTTTGGATCTCTCTTCCCTAATACCATCCGTTCCCTTTTTTTTCCTCCTCAGAGGATGATTTGTATTTGTAATTCCATTCTGTGGTTTTATATTTATTATATATGTACTCACAAAAATATGCAGTATTGTTTTGTGTAATTTTAGAGTAAGAGACCAAACTGCTATAACTAAGAAGTCCTAACATTCAGTGGTTTAAATGATACAGAAATTTATTTCTTTTATATATCAGCTTGGGTTGGAGAGTAAATCTGTTCTATTTAGTCACCAGGGTCCTGTTATCTTCCCAATGAATTCTCTGTAGTTGCTGCTAATCCAGTGCGAGGTTGGGAGGGAACAAGAGTATATGCCCAGGACTACAGATTTTCAAGGTCTAATTTGCACTCATCACTTTTGCTAACTTTCCATTGGCAAGTTTTATTACATAACCATATGTAGGTACAAGGAAGCCTGAAAAATTCACCATCTAGCTGAGAAGCCTCATCTGATTACTGATGAAGGAAAGGGATTTTAGTAGAAAACTATCAGTTTTTGAAACTTCTTTTCAAACTTTATAAAAATGGCATAAAAAAGAGTATGTTTCCTTCTGTGACTTACATTCTATGACATATTTTTGAGAATAGGTTGATAGATATTTCATGGTTTATTCTTTTTAAGTGATTGTATAATATTATATTTTATACAAAGCATTATTTATCCATTCTCTAATTTGCCATTTACATTTTTTACTATTTACATTTTTACAATTTTCACTATTACAATCTATATGGTAATGAATATTCTTTTTTTAAAAAAAGATTTTATTTATTTATTTCTAGAGAGAGGGGAAAGAAGGGAGAGAGGGAGAGAAACATGAATGTGTGGTTGTCTCTTGTGCACACTGCACTGTGGACCTGGCTTGTAACCCAGGTGTGTGCCCTGACTGGGAATCGAACCGTCGACCCTTTGGTTAACAGGCCTGTGCTCAATCCACTGAGCCACACCAGATGGGGCGTAATGAATATTCTTGTCCATGTCTCCTTTTATGTGCCTGTACAAGAGATTCTTTAGAGAAATGCTTCCTTACCCTTTTTACACATAGCGCACACAGAAAATGATATTTGTATGGCACACTGGGAGCATTGGAGGAGGATTTTTGAGGTGTACTGCCTGTCTTTTCTGAAGACTAGGAGTTAAGAGCTCTGCCTTGGTAAATACTTGGGAAACTCTAGTTTAGGTTTGCTCTGTGGGATTTGCCCATCTTCAGTATAAATAGGTATTGCTGCAGTCTTCATCAATGTGGTTGTAGAATTTACACTCTTACCAGCTATGTTTGCTAAGAATTTAGAGAAACAATATTCAGTGTTGTCATGCTTAAAAATTTTTGCCAATTGATAGGGTATGAATAGGTGTAATTTGTGTTTAGATTTGCGTTTTCTGACTTCTAGTGAGGTTGAACATCTTTTTGTGAAGTTATTGGCTATTTTAGTTTTCTATGACTTGCCTTCCTAAACTTTTCTCTTTTAAAAAATTATCTTTTTGTCCTTTTCTAAATACTTTGAGTTCTTTCTATAGTCTCAGTACTGATCCTTTATTAATTTTATCTGATATAGATATATTTTCTCACATTGTGGTTTGTTTTTTCACTTTGATGATATCCTTGCTTTTAAAAAATCAACTTTATTAATGTGTGATTTATATGCAATAAACTGTATTCATTTAAAGTATGCAATTTGATGAGTTTTGACTGTTGTATACACTCATTAAACTACAGTCACCATACAAAACATTTCCATCACCTCGAGAGTTTTTTCATTCCCTCTTGAAGTTCATCCCTCCTTTGACTGTGGCCCCACATAACTGCTGATTTATTTTCTGTCACTGTAGATCAGCAATTTTCAGCCTTTTTCATCTCATGGCACACATAAGCTGCTAAAATGCTGCAGTACAACTAAAGAAGACATTTTTTGCCAGTTTGACAAAGGGAATAGGTATAATTTTGATTCATTAACACTGGACAGCTATTGTTGTGTTGGCTTTTGTCATTATTTTATTTGACAGTCTAAGGGAAAAGAGGTCAGTGCCCCTGACTAAATAATCAGATATTGTATGCTTTAAGAATTGTAGCAGCACACCAGTTAAAAATGGCTGCTATAGATTAGTTTGAAGTTTTTAAAAATTTTATTTATTGATTTTAATGAGATGGTGGGAACTAGGGGTAGAAAGAGGGGGAGAGAGAGGGAGAGAGAGAGAGAGAGAGAATGAGAGAATGGCACTGATATGTTGTTCCACTTATTTATGCATTCATTGGCTGCTTTTTATATGTGCCCCAACTGGAGATTGAACCCACAACCTTGGTGTATCAGGACAAAATTCTAACCAGCTGAGCTACCTGGCCAGGGCTAGTTTGAATTTTTAAATGGAACCGTTTTGAATTTCATCTGTTATGTATATTAGTAGTTCATTCTTTTTTTCTTGCTGAATAATATTCTACTATATGGATGTACCATATATATATATATCTTTCTTATCATTCATCTGCGGATGAGTATTTGGATTGTTTCCAATTTGAGGCCATTAATAAAGCATCTCTGCACATTTACTTAGACATGTGTTTGCATTTCTCTTGGTAAATACATAGGAGTAGGGCATATGGTAGATGTATGCTTAACATTAAGAAGTTTCCAGAGACTTCCGGCCAAGATGGAGGCATAGGTGGACACACCGTACCTCCATGAACAACCAAGATTGGAACAACAACAATTTAGAGGCAGAATAACATCCAGAACTGACAGAAAATTTATCTGAATGGAAGTCGGACAGCCAAGAAGTTGAAATAGACCCATTCTTCCAGACTGGCAGGAGAGGCGGAGACAAGCAGCCAGGCGTGGGTCACGGCACAGAGAGCAGAGAGAGTTGGGCGCATAAGGCAACCAGGGGAGCGTAAGGCATCTGGGGCGCTCAAGATCTCAGCGGGTGGACCCTGAGTACGCAAGTGGCAGCTGGCAGACCCAGTGAGGCGGTGATTGTGGAGCAGGGTAGAACGCGCAACCCAGGATCCGAGAGAAGGGACTGAGGTCCCACGGAGAACAGAGCTACCGCCATTGTTCCCTCTTGACCCTGCCCCTACATACAACGTCACAATCTAGCGACTGGGGTGCCCAGCCCTGGTGAACACCTAAGGCTCCTCCCCTCACTATAATAGGAGCAACCAGACCAAAAAAAAAGAGAGACGGCTCAAACAGAAGAACAAATCAATGCCCCAGAACTCATCCTTTTAAGCTACCGAGAGATAGCCAACCTATCAGATGCACAGTTCAAAACACTGGTGATCAGGAAGCTCACAGAATTGGTTGATTTTGGTCGCAAATTAGATGAACAAATGCAGGTTATGATAAAAGAAATGAAGGAAAATGCACAGGGAACCAATAGTGATGGGAAGGAAACTGGGACTCCAATCAATGGAGTGGATCAGAAGGAAGAAAGAAACAAGCAAACAGGAAAGAATGGAGAAATAAGAATTCAAAAAAATGAGGAGAAGCTTAGGAACCCCCAGGACATCTTCAAATGTTCCAACATCCAAATTATAGGGGTGCCAGAAGGGGAAGAGGAAAAACAAGTGGAAAAGTTATTTGAACAAATAATAAAAGAGAACTTCCCCATTCTGGCAAAGGAAATAGACTTCCAGGAAGTCCAAGAAGCTCAGAGAGTCCCAAAGAAGTTGGACCCAAGAAGAAACATGCCAAGGCACATCATAATTACATTAGCGAAGGTAAAAATGAAGGAGAGAATCCTAGAAGCAGCAAGAGATAAGGGGACAGTTACCTACAGAGGATTTCCCATCAGACTGTCAGCTGATTTCTCAAAAGAGACCTTACAGGCATGAAGGGGCTGGAAAGAAGTATTCCAAGTCATGAAAGACAGGGACCTATATTCCAGATCACTCTATCCAGCAAAGCTTTCATTTAGAATAGAATGGAAGGGCAGATAAAGTGCTTCTCAGATAAGGTCAAGTTGAAGGAGTTCATCATCACCAAGCCCTTATTTTATAAAATGTTAAAGGGACTTATCTAAGAAAAGAAGATAAAAAAAAACATGTATAGTAAAAGGACAGCAAAATCACAATTATTAACAACCACACCTAAAGCAAAACCAAAAGAAACAAAGCAAACAACTAGAACAGGAACAGAACCACAGAAATGCAGATCACATGGAAGGTTAGCAACAGGGGAGTGGGAGGAGGAGAGGGGGGGAAAAGGTACAGAGAATAAGTAGCATAGATTGTAGGTTGAAAATAGACAGGGAGAGGGTAAGAATAGTATGAGAAATGTAGAAGCTAAAGAACTTATAAATATGACACATGTACATGAACTAAAGGGGATGATGTGGGTGGGAGATGGTGGAGGGGAGTGAAAGGAGGAAATGGGACAACTGTAATAGCATAATCAATAAAATATATTAAAAAATAAAATAAAAAGTTTCCAAACTGCTTTTCAAAGTAATTGTGTCATTTACGTCCCCACAAGATATGCATGAGAATTCTCTTTGCTCCATGGAATTCCCAACATTAGATATAGTCAGTCTGTTTTATTTTAGCCATCCTAATGTATGTGTAGTGTCATATTATTGTGGTTTTAATCTACATTTTCCCGATAACTAATGTTTTTGAGCATCTTTCATGTGGTCATTCACGTATGTTCTTTATGATAAAGTGTCCATTCAGTTCTTTTGCCCATATTTTTATTTGGTTGCGTGTCTACTAATTATTGAATTTTGACACTCACTTCTTTATGTTTTGTTAGATATATGTATTGCAAATATTTTCTCCCTCTCTGAAGCTTGACTATTTTTTAGTAGTGTCTTTCAAAGAGCAAAAGTTTTATTGTAAATTTTTATAAAGTACAATTTATCGATTTTTTCACAGGTCATGTTTTTCACAGGTCATGTCCTATCTATGAAATATTTGCCCACCCAAGGTCAGCAAGATATTCTCCTATGGTTTACAGTTTAGCTTTCTAATTCATATTTTTGACCTACATCAAGTTAAATTTTATGTAATGAGTGAAATAAAGTATTGATTTTAATTTAAGAAAAATATAGCCACTTGTCTTGGCACCATATTTTGGAAAGCCTTCCTTTTCCCTGTTGCAAATTCTCAGCAGCTTTGTCAAAAATCAGTCACCATATACGTATAGGTGTTTTTTTGGCCTTTGCATTCTGTTTTATTGATATGCCTTTTTACTTACCACTACTACATGTCTTGATTATTGTAGCTTTATAGTAAGACTTAGAATCAGGTAGTGTTAAGTCTATAGCTTTTTAAATAGCCTTTGGCTGTTCTAGGTTTTTCCCTTTCTATATATAAGAATGATAATAGCTGTATCTCAGAATTAAGAGGGTTAAATGAGGCATTCCTTAGAAGTATTTACAGCTGTGTCTGGCATTCAGTAAGGGTTCAATATATGTAGTTATTAAAAACACTTTATAAAGTATTTACTATGTGCTAGGCACTAGGTCAGGTTATATTTACTCATGTATATGTTGCATGTATAGTTGCATGTATATGTACTTGTATATGTATACATACACACATATACTTTACCTGCTTTTAGGGTTTTTTTTGTTGTGGTGGTTTTGTTTGTTTTTTTTGCTGTCTTTACTTCCTTGCAAACACAGGAAAAGAGTAGTTTGTGCAAATGTAAGACTTAAGACCAAATACGTCTTTTTGCAAAGGGCTGAAAATGACCATCTCCTTGTGTTTCGTGGTAGAACATGGGTAGAAGTAAATCTGGCTAAGAATAGTTCTGTTATACCACTACTCCTAGCATGTTGGAGGTCCTGAGGGTAGAAGGGCTACACAATTAATAATAATCTTTTATGGGTCTCTTTTTAATACGTGCCATTGAGTTGACTGAATTAATTCTGGTATAGCATTCTTGTACTTCAGCTAATACTGAAATGTGAAAGTGTGACTGCTCAAGGAAGGAAAAAAGAATAACTCTTATTTACTGAAATTCTGAATTTTTTGTTCATAGCTTTAGCATTTCCAGGTCATATGGCTGCCTTTAAGGGTGATTTGGAAATGCTTAAAAAATTAATAGAAGATGGAGTAATCAATATTAATGAACGTGATAATAATGGATCAACTCCTATGCATAAAGGTGAGTTATGATTCCTGCTTAATTTTCAATTCTGACACAATTGCTATTGAATTATTTACTTTTAAAAATAATTATACATCAGAAACACATGAAAATGTATCATATAGAGAGTACTTAATTTTTAACTCACTGTGATTTTTTTATGATGTCAGACATTCACACATTATGACATCTGAGGGTAATTTCAACAGAAATTCTCTTTTTATATTGTCATGTAGTTAAGATGTGAAATTCATTTCTAGAGAAGTTTCTTAGGACTAACATTTTCTTTGACTAAAATGACCTACTCATGCTAAAACAGAAACTGTATCTCTTGAAAAAGATCTAGCAGAATTTTCTTTTTTTCCTATACTCTGCAAAAGTGTTTTTACTTCCCTAGAAATATCAATTAACATGATTTGAACACATTTTGAAGATGTCTGCAACTTTTCTCTGTACTCTGTTTCCTTCTATGTGGAATTCTAGAATTTTCATCAGTTGTTTTGCTTTTTAATCAGGCTTTTTCAGATTGTCAACTCAGTGTCAGGAGTACATCTCTAGGATTTATCCTTGACAGTCTTTCTTTTATTTATAAAATCAAAACCCAAATCTTTAACCTACTGTACTTGAAATTTCCATTTTGCTTCATTTGTGATATTATGTTTTTTAAATATAGCTGGTAATAGCTGGTAAATGATAGCTGGTAATTCTTATAAAAATCTTCATGTGTTTGAATTGGACTGTATTTCATAAATAACTTTGATTATGTTACAGCCAGTCACAGATTATGTTTCTGTTGGTTAGGTTCTTAATCATTAAAGTTTGTTTAATTCATAATATATTTTAAGAATCTTAAGCACCACATGAACCAATAGTTTATAGGAGAAAGGGTGGTTGGGGCAGGAAGAAGGGGAAGTGAAGGGGGCTTGTTTTACACATAGAGAGGTCCTCATTTTGGTAAACACTACTCTATACTTGTAGGATTTCGCTTCATTGATTACTGCTAACTGGCTTGGCATTAAAGCTTTTTACTATGGGATTTATACATGGCGTGGAGACTGGAAATGTGTGTAAAATATTGGTTTTAAAATTATTTTATTTTTTTTTTCATTTTTTTATTCTATTACAGTTGACTCAATTTCCCCGTTACTCTCCCTTGCCCTGGCCACCACCTCCACCCCCACAGACAATTCTCATCCTGTTGTCCATGTCCATGGGTCACTTATACTTGTTCTTTAACTCCGATCTTCCCTTCTTTCCTCTCTTATCCTCCTCCCTGTTCCCCTCTGGTCCCTGTCAGTCTGTTCCTTGTTTCCATGCCTCTGGCTCTATTTTGCTCATTTGTTTGTTTGGTTCATTAGGTTCCACTTACAGGTGAGGTCACATGGTATTTGTCTTTCACAGACTGACTTATTTCACTTATTAGCATAGTACTCTTCAGTTCCATCATGCTGTCATGAAGGGTAAGAGTTCCTTTTTTCTTTCTGCTGCATAGTATTCCACTGTGTATATGTAACACAGTTTTTTGATCCACTCACTTACTGATGGACACTTAGGCTGCTTCTAGCACTTGGCTATTATAAATTGTGCTGCTTTGAATATTGGGGATCATAGGTTCTTTTGAATTGGTGTTTCAGGATTCTTAGGATATAATCTCACCAGTGGAATCGCTGGATCAAAAGGCAGTTCCATTTTTAGTTTTTTGAAGAAATTCCATACTGTTTTCCAGAGTAGCTGGACCAGTCTGCATTCCCAACAGTGCACTAGGGTTCTCTTTTCTCCACATCCTCTCCAGCACTTGTTGTTTGTTGATTTATTGATGATGGCCATTCTGACCTTTGTGAGGTGGTATCTCACTGTGGTTTTATTTTGCATCTCTCTGACGGCTAGTGATGTTGAGCATCCTTTCATGTGTCTCTGGGCCTACTGTATGTCTTCCTTGGAGTGTCTTTTCAGGTCCTTTGCTCATTTTTTTAATTGGATTGTTTATCTTCCTGGTGTTGAGTCATATGAGTTCTTTATATATTTTGGAGATCGAACCCTTGCCCAAGGTATTGTTGGCAACTATGTTTTCTCATACAGTTGGTTCCCTTTTCATTTTGAAGGTGTTTTCTTTAGCCAGGCAGAAGCTTTTTAATTTGATGTAGTCCCATATGTTTATTCTTTCCTTTATATCCCTTGCCAGGATGTATCAGTAAAATTATTGCTGTTTGGGATATCTGAAATTTTTCTGCCTACGTTTCTCTCTAGGAGTTCTATGGTATTGCAACTTATATTTAAGTCTTTTATCCACTTTGAGTTTATTCTGGTGTACGGTATAAGTTGGTGGTCTAGTTTAATTTTTTTGTGTGTACTATTCCATATCTCTGTTGCCCTGGAGCAAAGCCCCCATTTCATATCCTGTGTATAACCGATTTTTATTCCTACTGTGTATGTGGGGTGTCATTTATGAGAGTAAAAGAGAGGCTCGCTCATGGTATGTATAATGGGTCTTTGGAGGAACAATCAAGTAGGTGTTATTGACAGATGGTTTTCAGTCTATCTCAGTCTTTTATTTCTTCACTTGAACTGAGATGAGCATGAGGGATCTAGAAGACGATTCTAAAGAGATTGATGTACAGCAACAGAGTGTTTGGGATACAGCCATTGTGAGAAGGCAAGAGGGTGAAAATGAGAAACCACCAAGGGGACAGTGGGGAGAAGGGTTTTCAGGAATTACTAAAAAGGACACATGGACAAAACCAAGGTGGGGATGGAAGCAAAGAAGGGAGGTGGGTTAGGCTGGGTGGGGGGAGTGGTGGGGAGAAAATGCAGACAACTGTAATTGAACAATAGAGTAATTAAAAAAAAAAGAAACCAAAAGGGTTTGCCTTTCACCCCTTCTCTTGTGAGTCTGTCTGTTAAAGGCTCCCGGGGCTGGGGTAGATCACATGGTGTGGTGAAGGGGTGATGAGTGACTACAGCAGGGGGAAGGGGCATTTCTGTATACATTATCATTTTTGGGGGGGACATCTGTATGTTTAAATCATATTGAGTAAATAAAAGTTGATGTTTTCTTATAATTTAATTCACATTTTGTCAGTATATCTGCTTCTTTTTCTTTCATTTTAATTTTGATTCAGTAAGTAAATGCAGTATCTGTTAGTTGTTTAATGATTGCTAAATCCACTATGACTTCTCCTCTCTTTCATTTACTTTTAAGCCATAATTATTTCAAATTATCTTTTAAAAATTTCTAGCCACTGCATAATTTTATCTTGTTCTCTTATAAAACACTGATCAAATTAATTAACATATTCTAATCAATATACAAAAAGGATTTTGGATAAAAATTCTTTTATTGTATTTCCTTGTAGAACAATTACTTAGCTCCCCAGTCCCATTGTAAATATTACCTGTGTAATAAAATGGAAATGTTGGGTTAAACTCACTTTGTTGTATAAAACTTACCATTGTTTCGGATACATAAATATGATTTTGTAAGTATTAAAGAGAGGAGATGTTGCTGGTTTTGTGTAAAGTGGGGTTATTTCTAGAGGTATGGGTAATCCTGTAGAATTATTTGGTTTGGATTTGCTGTAGGAGAAAGAGAAGCTCCAGGAGCTCCTCAGGAGCTAACTGAGTCTGGCAGATGGCTCTGAGTCAATTAGAGAAAGGAAGGGCAGGAGTCCTTGCAGACATTTTGTAAGCTGAGCCATAGGGTTGTAGTGATGGTGCTTTGTCACTGGATCTGGCTTTGTATATTTTCTTCTCTGTTCTCAGTATTGGAGGTGGATTCACTTTTTAAGGCACCAAAATCATACCAAAAGTTCATACTCTGATTTATTTTGCAGAGGCACATATATATGCAGCACCAACTATGTGCCCGCACCATGGACACAGTATGAGATCCAGGCCTTACTGTTAAGGAGTTATATACTTACACCATGAACAACTAGAGATTTGTATAAGTCAATATGCACTAAATGGCAAAAAGGATTTGGTTGTTAAAATATCGGGTTGGCCAAAAAGTCCATATGGTTTTTTTCCATAAAAGAAAATACACATTTTTAATTTTCACCAATAACTTTATTGATTTCAATATTTGCGCTATCTCCACATGGTATAATGTTGATTCTTCTCAATTAATGTCTCAATTTGATTGCTGTCAACTTCAACTGATCTGCTTGACTATGGAGAATCATCCAGTGAGAAATCACCAGCATGCAACTTTGCAGACTACTTTTGACACATTTAATCAGTCACAGCACCTTCTCCATACACTGCACAAATCTTTTTTTGCATGTCAGTGGCATTTTTAACTTTCTTGAAATAATAAAGCATAGTATGCCAAAAATGTTGCATATATCATTCAATCTTCAGTACTAAAATGGCTAAAGAAAATTCACCAATTTTGATGTTTTTAAAAAAATGCACATTGATATGACAGCTGTCATACTGCAATCTAACAAAATTGTTTCAAATGAAGTTAAAGACAACTAAGTGCTATAGAAGTGTCTTACAGAAAAAAGCAAATGAACTTTTTGGCCAACCCAATACATGCAGTAGAAATTCAGGAGTAGAAATTGAACAGAAGTCACTAAGGGTTAAATTGTTGAGGAAGTGTTCAGGGGAATTTGGAAATAATACCTTATGTTTATATGATATTTAATAGGGTGCAAAACTGTCATACTTAATCCTTATTGTAATTTTATATAGCAGTAGTGTAAGTCACTACTACTTTATAAATATGAAATTATCTTTTTTAAAGATGAGGAAATTGAGGTCCAGAAGAACTAGTTTTTTTTTAATCTTTGCCTGAGGATATGCTTGTTTCTTAAAATTGATTTTTTATTGAGAGAAAGGAGGAGGGAGGAGAGAGGGAGAGAAGGAGAAGAGAAATGGATGCAAGACAGAACACATTGGTTGGTTGCCTCCCATTCATGCCCCGACTGGGTGTTGAACCTGCAACCTTCAATAGGTATGTGCTCTGACTAGGGGTCAAACCTGCAACATTTTGGTATATGGGAGGACACTCCATCAACTGAGCCACTTAGCTAGGGTAGAACCAGGTTTTTTGACTGAGATTATTCTACTGGTAAGAGCAGAGCTGAGGTTTCATTCATTTTTTTCTTCATTCGTTCACTCATCAATTCTATAAACATATATTGGAGGTCTGTATATGCCAGCTGCTTGGTAAATTTTGTTTTGTCCTCCAATCTGATTGTTTAGTAGACTTAAATTTAGGTCTTTTAAGTCTATTAAGTTTTTTTCCCAGTTTCCCTGAGTCTTGAGATGGACCTAGAAGGGTGGGTAGAAGTTAGATAAGTACATATGAGTAATGCGCACTAGCTAAGAAGGCACATCAGCAGAGTTGTGGAGGTGAAAGTTAATATTGAGTGCATGTGTTTTGAGGACAAAATTTAGAAATAGGTGGTAAACAGTTTAGGTAATCAGTGAGGGACCTGTAAGTTTTGAGTTGTGAGGGTCAGAGGAATAAGCTATTAATATAACATGGCACAAGATTTTCAAAGTCAATGTGATTCTCTATGGCTAGATTGCATTCTCATTCTGGTGCGATGTAAGATTGATCAGCAGCTATATAAATAGCAGTTGGTGAGCACTGGACAAGTATTAGAAAAAACTAGATTATTGCTTCAAATCTATTACTACCTGTGTGATGTTAAGTAAATAACCTCTTTGAGCCTTACCTTTTATATCTGTATGTAAAATTCTCTGTGTAGGGGATGAGTACAGTACATCATGGATTAAATGTTTGTCTAACTAATGAATAAATGATATAGGGTATTACATCTACCCAACTTACTTTCATTGGTTATTGCAAGGATCAGTATTTATGAATGGTACTATTGGTACCATTCATAAAAGTACTATTGGTACTTTCTAATGGTACTATTCAAAATTTGGAAAATTCCTATTAATAACAGTAACTTTTTTGTGGGTTTGTTTTTTTTTTTTACAGCTGCTGGACAAGGCCACATAGAGTGTTTGCAGTGGATAATTAAAATGGGAGCAGACAGAAATATTACCAACAAAGCAGGGGAGAAACCCAGTGATGTGGCTAAGAGGTATCCTTATCTCTTTTGTTCCCTTTTTGTTTTGTTTTTAAAGTTTTGCATATAGTCTTTTATGCTCAGAAATCTTTGAAGATTTAATGAATTATAGGACTCAAATACTGATGGAATGACAATATTCAAGCTGAATAGACATTTGACAATGTATCAACTCTTCTCTCTAAAACCGTGATTTTAAACTGGGAGGTAGTATTGTCCCCTTTCCTGGTGGGGAGAGCATTTGGAAATATGTCGGGGTTTGTCACAATTACTAGTGACTATCATTAATATTTAGTGAAGTTAAGTCCAGGAATGGTTAAATACTATATGTTCTACAGTACTCAGAATAGTGTCACACAGCACAGAATAATTACCAAATGCTGGTACCTGTTGAGAAATATTGTGTGCTAAAAAGGGGTAATCAAAAAGAGCCACATGGCTTTTGAAACAAATTTTGGTATTTACATTTGGATTAAATATGACACCTATTATCAAATGCCTCCAGCTCGTTCAGGTCAGGTCAAGCCCATTCTTTTGTTTATTTGCTTGGTTTTTACAAATTCAACTTTATTATACATATCATGTTTCAAGTACTACAGTTAGTGTTAGGATTATAAAGATGAAAAAACAGTTCTTGCCCTCATAGGAGCTTAGAGTCTTGTGGAGAGATAAATTATAATTATTGTAATAATCATTATTAATTATAATCATTTTGTATAAACATAACTAGTGATACATAATCATTGTATCGTATTACATTATATATAAGGTATAGTAAGAACATAGGAGACTTGCGCAAGTCTTCCTATTTGAAAGTTGTGGGGGAGAAATATTAATACAGATGATGTTAAGTATTATGAAGGAAACTGTAAGAGCACAGAATTTATATAGAGGTCAAGGAAAATTATTTTTTTGGAGAAAGCAACACTTATGCCTGACACTTGAAGGAGAAAGAGCTATAACAAAACACTTGTGTGTTTCAGGAACTGCATGTGGGTTCAGTACTGCTTAAATCTAAAGTAGGAGTACGTACCCTGGCCAGGTACCTCAGTTGGTTGGAGCATCACACTAATATGCCAAGGTTGTAGGTTCGATCCCCAGTCAGGGCACATACAAGAATGGACCAATGAGTGCATAAATAAATGGAACAATAAATCAGTCTCGCTCTCTAAAATCAATAAATTAAAAACAATAAAGTAGGAATGTAGTCTAACAGATGCAAATGAGTCTTGAAAGGACAGGGAACCTAATCATTCATTAAATTGACATGCAATTTTTGTTTGTGAGTTCATATTTCTTAAAATTTTGTGGAATTTCTTTGAAACTTTGGAGTGTATTTTCATTGTACCTAGGTTCATAATTAATTGAGCCCACTTTATTTTTATAAATACCTTTATCAAGGTATAATTGGCATACAATAAAGTATACACATACTTGTACAGTACAAATTAATGAATTCTGATCTGTGTATACATATACCCATGAAACCATCACAATCAAGATAGTGAATGTATTCATGAATCCCCACAATCTTCTTGTGCTCTTTTGTAATCTCTCTCCTTCTCACTGCTGGCTCCCCCAGGCAAACACTGATCTGCTTTTTGTCACTATGGATCAGTTTTCATTTCTAGAGTTTTATATGAATGGAACCATACAGTCTGTACTCATATATCTGGCTTCTTTCACTCAGCATAATTATTCTGAGAATTCATATGCATTATAGTTCATTTCTTTCTTATTGCTGAGTAGCATTCCATTGGATATAGAATTCCAATGGAGTATTCTATAGTTTAGCTACTAACTTGTTGAAGGAGATAGTGATTGTGTCCATTTTTTTGTGATTATGAATAAAGCTGCTGTAAATATTCACACATAGGCTTTTGTGTGAATAAAAGTTTTCAGTTCACTTTGGTAAATTCTTAGGGGTAGTATTGCTGGGTCATATGCTATGGGTATCTTGAACTTTACAAGAAACTGCAAAAGTACCTTCCAAAGTGATTGTAGCAACTTGCATTCCCACCAGCAGTGGAAACCGTGGTTATGTAAGTGTATGAAAAAATAGAATTTGAGATTTTTGTGTTTAGCGAGTAATTCTCCATTTTCTAAGAGAAAGCATTAAACATCTCAGTTAGCAAAACTGTAGAAAAATATGCAGATTACATGCATTTACAACCACTCCCAAACCAAGGGTATATTACTAAAAGATTCATAGCGATGTGGGAAAGATCAAAGAAAATAGAAGATATGGATGGGAAAAGTCATTATTTTCCCATTAAATTTAAAGCCATGCCAAGTGCTTTGGACTGAGGAAGGATGAAGACTAAGGGGGCTAGACCTATAGTTAGCCTTAAAACTGGAACCAGAACTAATTCTACAGTCTAAACTAGGTCATCAGAGAAAGATAGTAAATGCAGGTGATCAAATAGGGTGATTTTGGGCTTTCTGTACAATTTAGCAAATCTGTTTGGGTCTCCTCTCTCAGTTGGGTTTTTGCCAATAAAAGTTATAGAATCTGTCTTTAATGTGACTGCTTGCCCTTAGTGTCCAGTGACTGTTTGAGTTTCCCATGTAGCTAACATCAAATTGACCCTGATCTTCAGATACAATTTTGCTCCTTTACTGGTGTGTAGGCTGGTGGCGTAATGTACAGAGTGTAATTCCCTAAATTAAGTTCAAACTGCAGTTTCAATTAGAAAATTGTGCTTCTCGTTAATTGTTGATTTTTTTCTACAGGTTTGCCCATTTAGCAGCAGTAAAGCTGTTAGAGGGGCTACAGAAATATGATGTAGATGATGAGGATAAAATTGATGAAAATGACACGAAATTTTTTATAAGACATGGTGTTGAGGGAAGCACTGATGCCAAAGATGATTTATGTCTTAATGAGTCGGATAAAACAGATGCCAGAAGTAAGTGTGCCAACTCTGTTGTGATTTATTCTTTAAGTGGCATTTTTTAACCACAAATTTGAAAATTATCCTGAAGACATTTACCATCTATGAAGTAAAATTACTTTGATTTTGGAAGGGAACCAGAACTAGAGTAATTTTTGCGCTATGGGATATTGAACATTTCAAAATGTAAGACATGATCTCTTTCCCTCAAGGAGGAAAAAGTTATATGAAAGGTAACATTATTTAAGTGGATCATAGGAAAACAGGAAGAAACATCTCAAGAGTTTCCCTTGTTAGTTGGCAAATGATTTTTACAGATAATAATGGCAGTAAATATTTATTGCCTACTATGTGCCAGATACTGTTACAGGTATTGGTGAAACAGTGAACTACAAAATCCCCTCCTTACCACCAAGAGCTTACATTCTGGTGATGGTGGTGGTGTCAGATAATTAATAAAAAAAAAGGTACATAATAAAATGAAGTGGGGTGCTGCTATAGATAAGATAACCATTAGAGGAGGCCTCTCTTAAGGGGGTGACATTTGAGAAAAGACCTAACTGATGAGAGTGAGCCACATGGAGATCTCAGGAGACTGTTTCAAGCAAGAGGAACACTGTGAGGTGGACTCGAGCTCAGTGTGACTGGATTAGTGACAGATTTGGTTGGAGATATAAGCAGGGACTCAATGAGATCAAATAGAGCGTAATAAGGATTTTATGTTTAGATTTTATTGGTGGGTTTGAGGTGGGGTTGGTGTGATCTGATTTGTATTTAAAGATAACATCACTCTAGCCCTGACCAGTGTGGCTCAGCTTGTTGAGTGTTGTTCTGCAAAACAAAAGGTTGCCGGTTTGATTATTGGTCAGGGCACGTTCCTGGGTTGCAGGTCTGCTTCTCAGTTGGGACAGATGCAAGAAGCAACCGATCAATGTTTCACATGTTGATTTTTCTCTCCATCTCTTTCTCATTTCCTTCCCCTCTCTCTAAAAATGAATAAGTAAAATCTTAAAAAAATAACATCACTCTAGTAGTTGGTTGGAAAGTAGACTGGGAGATGGGAGAGAGCATAGCATTTCAGATGCATTTTGAATAGGTGGGAAGAGAACACACTCACCTGCTAATGCAGGGTTAGAGGAAGTTTCTGAAATAATTTAGATTTGCCAAGAAAACTAAATTAGAATTGTACAAGAGAAGATGCAGAATATCTGCACAGAGTTCCTGGGCTCCTGGAGTCCCCCGTGTAGGCCTGCAGCTACCACGATGCTGGAAATCTCCATTGTTGTTTTGCTTCAGCCTTGTATACGAAAGGCTGTCACCACCATTCCAGAAGAGCTTACATAAACGTCTGTTTATTTTCTTTTAAGGTAATATTTATATACCCATATTTTTCTGTGAATAGCATGCATTTTTTCCCCAAGTTCTTGAGGGAAAAATAAGGATGTGTATTATACATGAGTAGTACCCAAAATACCTTGTATCTGTACTTGGGTTTCGTAATCATTTGTTACGTAAAATTTCTTGTACCATAATATATTCAAAACTAAATGCTAAAGTTCCTTTACAATACAAAAAACAAGTATCTAGATATAGATAAATAAATAATTGAATTAAAAAATTAAAATGAAAGATTTTTTTTCTGAAAATTTGGGCCAAAAACATGGGTGTGCATTATACATGGCCAAGTATGGTCCATCAGGCTTTTTTTGGTTCTTGATCCAAACTCAGTGTTAGTTAAGACCATATTTGTCTGGAGGGCGGTGGTGGAGAAAGCTGAATCAGGGTCCAGTTGGCCTCGACTGTTTTTGCCTCTAAATTTCCTGTGTTGTGGAAAGCCCATTTCCCTTTACATGGCAAAAGTAGAAGCAGGGAAATCAGGGGGCTGTGACCTTGTTCAGGATAGATTTGATCTCGGCTTGGACTAGGCTGAGAATGATGGAAATGGTGAGAAATGATCAGATTTGGGTGTATTTAGAACAGAGAGTTGATAGGATTTGCTGATAGATTTGAATAGGAGGTGTTAGAGAATGAGAGTAATCAAGGCTGACTCTTAGATTCTTGCTTGGCCTGTGCTACTAGATAACGAGTTTAAAAGGACTCTTCGCTCAGAACTACAGCGTAGCAGAGAAGGCTTTTCACAAGTGGAATGTTGACTTTTCCGTAAAGCATGGCCAGGGTTTAGACAGACAAATAGATAAGGAAGGCATTCCATTCATCTAACATATATTTGAGTACCTACTGTGTGCACAGCCCTGGATTAAGGGACTTTAGGCACTGTATCACAAATAGTCCTGCTTTTTGAAATTCAGAAAACGTTTTGAACCTATTCGATGTAGTATTAAAAGAAATGACTGAAATTGTGCTTTTTCAATTCTTTCTCTCCCACCATTAAACATGTTTATTAAGGACTCGATTATGTATCAGACACTGTTCTAGGTGCTAGGGTTCCATTGGTGAACAGATATCATTTCTCTATATTTGCTTGTTTCCTAAATTGTCTGATGTTGACTTTTCTAAAGCTATAAAAGTCTTCATTATCTGCTCTTTTTTTAACTAAATTAAAGTTTATAACTAATAAAAATACTTTTTTGTTTCATAGATTGCATTATAGAGACATACAGATTTAAATGCCAAAGATTTAATTTTCTTTTTTTATTTTTAAGTATATTTTATTGATTATGCCATTACAGTTGTCCTACTTTTTTTCCCCTTTATTCCCCTCTGCCCTGTATCGCCCCTCCCAGCAGCATTCCCTGCACCCTACTCCCTTAGCTCATGTCCATGGGTTGTACAAATAAGTTCTTTGACTTCTCCATTTCCTATACTATTCTTAACTTCCCCCTCTCTATTTTGTACCTACCATTTATGCTTCCTATTCCCTGTACCTTTTCCCACATTCTCCCCCCTCCCGCTCCCTGCTGATAACCTTCCATGTAATCTCCATTTCTGTGATTCTGTTCCTGTTCTAGTTTGCTTTTGTTTTTGTTATTTAGGTTCTGATGTTGATAGTTGTGAGTTTGTTGTCATTTTACTGTTCATAGTTTTGATCATCTTCTTTTTCTTAGATAAGTCTCTTTAACATTTCATGTAATAAGGGCTTGGTGATGATGAACTTTTACAATTTGACCTTATCTGGGAAGCACTTTATCTGCCCTTCCATTCTAAAGGATAGCTTTGCTGGATAGAGTAATCTTGCCTTTCATGACTTGGAATACTTCTTTCCAGGGACTAATACATAGCCCCTTCTTGCCTGTAAGGTTTCTTTTGAGAAATCAGCCGCTAGTCTTATGGGTACTCCTTTGTAGATAACTGCCTCCTTTTCATTTGCTGCTTTTAAGATTCTCTCATTTTTAATCTTGGGTGATGTAATTATGATGTGTCTTGGTGTGCTCCTCTTTGGGTCCAACTTCTTTGGGACTCTCTGAGCTCCTTGGACTTCCTGGAAGTCTTATTTCCTCTGCCAGATTGTGGAAGTTCTCCTTTATTGTTTGTTCAAATAAGTTTTCAATGTCTTGCTCTTCCTCTTCTCCTTCTGGCACCCCTATGATTTGAATATTGTAATGTTTAAAGTTGTTGCTGAGGTTCCTAAGCCTCTCCTCATTTTTTTTGAATTCTTGCTTCTTCATTCTGTTTTGGTTGAATGTTTATTCCTTCCTTCTGGTCCAAATCGTTGATTTGAGTCCCAGTTTCCTTCCTATCCCTGCTGGTTCCCTGTATATTTTTCTTTACTTCACTTTGCATAACCTTTACTTCTTCCTCTATTTTGCAACCATATTTAGCCATTTCTGTGAGCATCCTGATTACAAGTGTTTTAAACTGTGCATCTGATAGGTTGGCTATCTCTTGGCCGCTTAGTTGTATTTGCCATGGAGCTTTAATCTGTTCTTTAATTTGAGCTACATTTCTTTGTCTTGGTGTACCAGTTACGTTGTAAGGGGCAGAGCCTTAGGTATTTGCCAGGGCGGGGCAACCCACATTGCTGCATTGTGGGACTATATGTGGGGGAGAGGTCAGAGAGGGAACAATGTCACTTGTTTGGCTCTGGACCAACCTTCAGTCACTTCCCCTTCTACCTACAGCAATTTGGGCCCTTCTGGTGCTGATTCTGGGTTGAGTGGGTTTGTTTATGTTCTAGGATCCTGTGGGCTGCTCCAATAAACTCTCCTTGGGGGTGGGAGTTTCTCTGGCTACTGCAACCCCCACGGATTTTTATAGCCAGAGGTTTTTGAGGCTTTATTTCCCCGTGCTAGAACCCTGGGTTGCATGGTCTGTCTTGCTCCCTAGTTGTTCCTACCAGTTTATCAGCACGCAAATTTGGGACCACCCAGTCTGTCAGCCACTGCCTTGCTGTGTGCTCTCTCCACCACAGCTTCCTATTTCCACCCCATCCACCAGTCTGGATGAATGTTTCTTCTTTAACTCCTTGGTTGTTGGACTTCCATACAGTTCTATTTTCTGCCAGTTCTGGTGGTTTTTTGTTTTTAAATTTGTTGTCCTTCTTTTGGTTGTGCAAGGAGGCAAAGTATAACTATGCCTCCATCTTGGCCAGAAGTCACCCAAAGATTTAATTTTCATAATTACAAATGAATAACAATCTTATTTTATTAAATGATGTCTTAGTGGGCATGGAGTGCCATAAGACTAAGTGGCTTAAACAGCAGATATTTATTTTCTCATGGTTTTGGAGGCTGAAATTCCTAGTCAAAGTCCAATGGGTCTGTTCTGCTGAGGACTTTCTGCCTTGGAGTTGGCCAACTTCTATCTTCGCATGGTGGAGAGAGCGTGAGCAAGCTCTCTGGTGTCACTGTAAGGGCACCAGTCCCATTGGACCAGCGCTCCACCCTCACGACCTCATCTAACCTTATTACCTTCCAAAAATTCTATCTCCAAATACTATCCTACTGGGGATTAGGGCTTCAACATGTTAACATTGAGGAGATACAAACATTGTCTGTAACAAATGGTTAAACATTAAAGTACACCAAATTAGTGAGTAAAAGTGGGAGTGCTTCTGT